GCTTGCCCTGCGTCGCCGACGCGTCGGCGACGCATCGGTGAGGTCTAGGGGAGCAAAACAGAAAAACTCGGAGGTCCGCGCGGATTTCTCGCATCGGCGCTGGCCCCCCCTCCCTGGCGCGCGGAGCGCGCCAGGGGCGGCGCCGGAGGCGCCGCCAGGGGGGTCCAGCGCGGGTCCGAGAAATCCGCGCGGACACTCGAGTTTTTATGCTTATGTCATTGCTTGCTTCCCTAAGGTCGGGAGAAGGAGCGCCGTGCTCCAGATCGCGCTGGACCGCTGGTGCATCGCCCGATGCGGCCCGACCCTCCGACCTCGTCTGATCTGGGCCCATTACTTTGGGAGGCCCAGAGTGCATAGGGGCAGCGAGGACGACGACAAGCACACACCGCTGGCATGTCGGGAGAGGGGGCCCCCTGATGGGGCGTTGGCGGGGACTGGGTTTCGTGGGACTTGGTTTAGTGATGAATACCCTGGGGATGCCCCTCCCGCCCAGTTCCACTTGGGGTAGTGACTCTGGCCAATTTGGGGGGCCTTCGGGGCCCCATCACTGCTCAGCTCCCCTCACCCTGGGGTCCTGGCGTTTCCCGATCCGAGAGCACCTGGCGAGGGCACCTCGCCCGGAGCATCTCTCTCTCTCTCTCTCTCTCTGGCGCTGGCCTCGCACTGCATTTGTTTAACTTCCCTTTCTTTCATTATCCCCCGTGGAAGTGATCCGCACTGGCCGTGTCACGACGTACACACCTTGCAGTGACTCCTTGGAGCGACATGGAAGACCAAACGCATCAAGAACATAGATGCCTGAAGAGATCCAAACGGGGCACGTCGCCTCTTGGCAGGCGTGCGTCTGAAGGCCCATTCCGGGCGGTGGGTCGTGGTGCCGAAGTTTCCGGGCGAACGAGGCAGCAGCGGCCGAATAATGCTCGGGCGAACACCCCACTGCGAAAACTAATCGGCCTCTTTCCGCAGAACTGATGTTTTTTCCCCACATCCAAAGTGGGGTTCTTGTTTTCTCTGGACACCCCGCGCAGGAACAGGAACACACACACACACACACACCCACTCACACTCACTCACACTCTCTCATCATCAACCTCATCAGCATCATCGATGATGCTCTCTCACATGCTTAGTCACTCACATACTCATCATCATCATCACTCGCACTCTCTCACACGCTCATGAACATCATCATCATCATCATCATCATCATCATCGGCATCATCCTCATTCAAACATCATCATCGCCACCACCACTCACAATCAATCATCATCCTCTTCACCACTCATCTTCACCACCACTCATCATCCTCATCCTCATCATCGTTGAATAAATTGTGAGGAAGTCTCAGGCGGGAGCCCCCTCCCTATGGGGCCCGCAGATCATGTTGGTAATCCGAGCGGGTCATCGGAATCCTGTAACTGTCGTCACTTTTGAGCTCCCCAGGCCTGAAAATGGAGGAAGTCTCAGGCGGGAGCCTCGTCTGTGAGTGAATTGGGAGGAAGTCTCAGGCGGGAGCTCCCTCCCTATGGGGCCCGCAGATCATGTTGGTAATCCGAGCGGGTCATCGGAATCTTGTAACTGTCGTCACTTTTGGGCTCCTCAAGCCTGAATTTGGAGGAAGTCTCAGGCGGGAGCCTCGTCTGTGAGTGAATTGTGAGGAAGTCTCAGGTGGGAGCCCCTTCCCTATGGGGCCCGCAGATCATGTTGGTAATCCGAGCGGGTCATCGGAATCCTGTAACTGTCGTCACTTTTGAGTTCCCCAATGCGTGAAAATGGAGGAAGTCTCAGGCGGGAGCCTCGTCTGTGAGTGAATTGGGAGGAAGTCTCAGGCGGGAGTTCCCTCCCTATGGGGCCCGCAGATCATGTTGGTAATCCGAGCGGGTCATCGGAATCCTGTAACTGTCGTCACTTTTGGGCTCCTCAAGCCTGAATTTGGAGGAAGTCTCAGGCGGGAGCCTCGTCTGTGAGTAAATTGTGAGGAAGGCTCAGGCGGGAGCCCCCTCCCTATGGGGCCCGCAGATCATGTTGGTAATCCGAACGGGTCATCGGAACCTTGTAACTGTCGTCACTTTTGGGCTCGTCAAGCCTGAATTTGGAGGAAGTCTCAGGCGGGAGCCTCGTCTCTGAATGAATTGTGAGGAAGTCTCAGGCGGGAGCTCCCTCCCTATGGGGCCCGCAGATCATGTTGGTAATCCGAACGGGTCATCGGAACCCTGTAACTGCCGTCACTTTTGGGCTCCTCAAGCCTGAACATGGAGGAAGTCTCAGGCGGTTTTGCCCAGGGCGGAGGCGAAGCATCTCGCGACAGAGCTGGGCTTCGTGCTGCCTTCCGCCTGAGCGCGGCTGCGCCTCGCTCGAAGCCCGCGGGGTTGTCCCAACGGCTTGGTCTTGCGCGCCAACGGCTCGCGGGGTTGTCCCGACAGCCTGGCCCGCGGGGTTGTCCCAACGGCTGCGCGACGTGACCAGTAGAGAACGCGCCTGTGCTGGCCGTGGCGGCGACGGCGCCGAGGAACATCGACATGCGCGCTCATGCAACAGGAAGGGGAGGAGGTGGCGGGGCGCGGAACAAACAGGGGGGCGAGGATGGGGACAACGTAAGGAGTGGAAGGGGGGCCCGCGCCAAGGCGACAGGAAATATACGCCGAAGAGACAGCCAGGACGCCTCACCAACCACGAGGACGACGGTGATGTTTTTTTCCAGATTCGCCCAGAGGATTCTTATGTGGGGTTCTTCCGTCGGAGTAATTTTTTATAACGAACGTGCCTGGCGCATCAAGGGGGGAGCCACATTTCGAAAACGACCCCCTCCAACCTCAGAACTGTTGGACGCTGTTGAAAATAAACGTGTGCTAAAAGTCCACCGACCCTGTCGGCGTGTGTGAGGTTTTTCCATTTGAGTCGTCGTCATCGTCGTCGTTGTCGCCGCTCACCCCCTTTCCAGCGTTCCAGCCAAATTGACATCGATTAACGTCGTAATCGAGTGGACGGGAAACCCCTTCGCTTTGATCCCTCCCCTGCCCGGGGGGGGGGTCCGTGGGGTGGGGCCCAGAGGGGTTGGGGGGTGGGAGGGGGGGCAGAGTCCCAGGGGTTGTGACTCCCCCCCTGGGGGGAGCACCCTTCCCTGGGAGAAGCTTTTGGCTCCAGAGCGTCGCCGTCGTCGCCGTCGTCGCCGTCGCCGTCGTCGTGCCCATTCAGGGTCAGCGGCACCGGCCGCAAGGCCTTCGCAATAAATCGGTGCTAACGCGAGAGCCACATTTTATCAACGACCCCCCTCCGTCCGAGCAGCTGTTGGGAACTTCGAAGACGAATGAACGCTGTGCTAGGGAGAGGCACATTTTGAAAACCACCCCATCCATCCGTGGAAATTTGTAAGACGAATGCGCGCGGCGGCAAGGCGTGAGTCACCATGTGAAAACGAATCGCCCTCTGATCCGCGCAACTGCTGGAAACTTTACGACACATGTGCGCGGCCAACCAAGGCGAGAACCATACTTGAAAATGCCCCCCCCATCCATGTATCTCTGGAAGGTCCAAAAGTTTCGGCACCATAAGCGGGAAGCAGGCAACAAGGTAAACGCCCGGACCCGCCCTGCCGACACACCAAGTGGTCAGACGATGAGGAGAGATCTGCAAGGAGAAAGCATGGAGGGCGAGAAGGCTCGGCGAGGACGGCGAAGGATCGCGCCGCTGACCCGACCTCCCCCCTGCCGCCGCCCACCGCCCGCAAGGGCCAATCCCTGGGGCCACTCGTGGGGAAACCAAAGGATACCGACACCGCGACTCCCCGAGCCTGGATGTCGAGGCGACTCCCGCCGTGGCGACGAGGGCCTCCCGGGAGGCCCCCCAAAGGCGAAACTAAGCCAGGGGTAGCGTTCCGCGGCAACTCATGGGGGCCTCCCACACCATCTCGCTGGCCCTTGCGGATCGACGCTAATCGACGCTAGACCGGCGCTTTCCCGTCGATGACCAAACAATGCCGCACTCGAATGTACGCCAGGGACAGAACTCCTGGGACATTTGAAGCTCCCGTGGTTTGCAATCGAAGTAGCGGTGTCAGTACCTTTTTCGCGGCGGCGAGCCTGGGGGTGGGGGGGAAGAAGGGGCGGGCCTTCTCAGAAGGCTCGGAAGGCCTCCAGCCTCTCGAGCAGTTTCTTCTGAGACTCCCCAGACGACACCAACAGCTTCCCAATGGCGCGAGGGCTTCTGCGAAGTCCCGCCGCCTTCTGAGAAGGCCTGCTCCTTCTCTAGGGACCTCAGACATGGGGTCCGAGTACATGGGGCCGGGGGATCGCACCGCCTTCCCGATGTATCACCGGTGTATCGCCGGTGCGTCGACGATGCACCGACGACGTCGGCGATGCATCGGCGACGCCAGCGTGGCGAAAGTCGGGCCCACACATCGAGCTGCATCCCCGACGCATCGAAGCGGAGCGATCCACGGACCCCGTGCACTCGGACCCCACGCGGGAGGTCCGGATTCTCAACATCCTCCCCTCTCGGGCGGGCGGTTACGGGGGGTGGACCTACATGGGGGGTGCAGAGAAGGGCCCTCAATTGGCCCTTGAGATGGGAACCCGCTGGCTCCGAAAGGGGCCTCAGAGGGCCTCTGCAGGGCCCTTGTCTTCACCCCCTGCTTGAGTCACCCCCTCCAAACGGTTGAGGGACAAATGAAGCAGCACTCCTCCCTCCCCCCCCGCAATCCAAAGCTGGCACGTAGACGCACCACTGGTCCGACACTCACACTCGGGAGGTCCGAGCCCAACACTGCATTCGGGGGGGGGGGAGCTCACGCCACGTGTCACGCGCGAGCGCTGCTCAACTGTTCCCGACACCCGTATGACCACCCGCACCGACGCCTCTCGGCGCGCCGCCGATTTCCCTCCGTGACCCTCGGACGGCCCGCGCCCGCCGCCCGCGCGCCGCTGCCGCGCGCCGCTTGCCGCGCGGCCGCGCGGCTCCCGAGGGGCGGCAGCGGCCTCGGAGGAGCCCCGCGCGGGCCTCAGAGCTCCCCCATGCTCGGGAGCGGGGGCTGCTGGGCCTCCGCGGGGGGCGGCGCGGCCGAGGGGCTGGCCTCCGGGGGAAGACCGTCGAGCAGGGCGCGAAGATCACCAGCCGAGGGCCTGATGCTTCAGGGCCTCTCGATGCCAGGCCGTGTCGTGATGGGCGTTGTGCTGTGGCACGCTCTGCTGTGCCATGTTGTGTTACAGTCACGCCATGTCCTGCTCCTGCTGCTGTTTCTGTTGCTGCCGATTGGTTTTGACGCAGCCACCCCCCCAGCGGCCGTTGCCCCAGGGAGGGGTGATCAAAGCAGTTCCGCCGCTGCGGCACCTGCTCCTGCTCCGTTCCCGCTCCCACCCCCCCTTTTCCCCCAGTAGCGTTTCGCCAAGAGGCTTCTCATAGTGGTGTGACAGGACACAGAAGAGTCCTTGCCGTCGCTCGGACGTCCATTTCCCGTGCATGTTCGATGGTCCAGGATGGTCCTCGATGGTTCCCGCCGAGAAAAAGTGCACACGTCCGAGCGATGCCAGGGACACAGAAGGGTCCCGCAGAGGGGGCGGAAGCCCTGTGATCAGCTCGCCACTGCCGGACCACCAGACGCGTCGGCACGCTGGCCCGGGCATTTCGATGGAGGCCTCCTCGCAGCTTACCTTCCCGAAGCTTGACATGTCCAACAGCCACGCGGATAGCGGGCGTTTTTTTCTTCCTTTTTTAAGATGTGGCCCTCGCCTTGGCGCCGAACACATTCGTCTTGAAAGTTTTCTCCAGCCAGCGAAGGCCGGTCGTCTGCAAAGATGGCCGTCGCCAGAACCCCGCGCACATTCGTCGCGAACACTTCCCACAATTGCGCGGATGCGGGACCAGTCGGTTGCATCTGTGGCTCTCGCACCAATGCCGTTCACATGCGTCTTAAATTGTTTGAACTGTTTGGCGGGTGGGAGCCGGTCTGGTGCCACTGTGGAGCTCTCGCCCGAAACTTCCCAACATGCTGCACGGGCAAGAAGCGGTTCTTCTTCAGAGCGTGGGGCTCTCGCCCGACGCCGCGCTGCGCTGCGCGGCCAGCAGCGGAAACGCGGGCCACAGCTGCGCGGACGGAGGGGGCGTTCCCCTGCACAGCGGGGCCGTCGCTGGGCAGCGCTGACCCCCCCAACTCCCGTTGCACCTCGGCAGGGCGCGGGGGCGGTAAAGTCTCCGACCGTGGAGCCGTCCTGGCGCCCGCGCCAGCGTCCGAGCAGAAGGAACAGGTATACAGAATCTGTCCCTGCTGGCCCTTCGCCCGAAGCCCCTTTCCCGAAAGCAAGCTCCCTAGGAAAGTCAGGGGGTCTCTCCTCGAACTCCTCGCGGTTCGGCCTGTGCTGGGAGGAGTCGGCGGTGTATGTGTAGCCGGGCACCGTGCCCACGCTCGGTCCTCCAGCAGCGAAGAGACGACACCGCCGCGAAGTGCTGGGCCGGGAGGGCGTCGAATTGCAATCGGAAGTTTGCGCAAGACGAACGCAGCGATCGGTGCAGTGGAGGTTGACCACTGCATGCGCCGCGCAGTGTGGACCAGGACACCTTCCTTGAACTTTCAGGCTCGACCTCGTCTCGCGTTCCCCGCGGGTTCGAGCGACGGAGGGCGGCCCATGTCAGAGCGGAGGCCCCGCCAGCATTGCGGGGCCCCCGGGGCGCTCGTCATTCCATGGGGGCGCTTCGCGCAGTGAGAAACCATGCTCGTGAGGACTGATGATGATGATGATGATGATGATGATGAGGAGGAGGAGGAGGAGGAGGAGGAGGAGGAGGAGGAGGAGGAGGAGGACTGATGATGATGATGATGGAGGAGGAGGAGGAGGAGGAGGAGGGAGGAGGACTGATGATGATGATGAGGAGGAGGAGGAGGAGAAGGAGGATTATGATGGAGGAGGAGGCTTGGGAAGAGGAGGAGGCGGAGGCGGAGGAGAGGAGGAGGAGGAGGGAGGAGGAAAGGATGAGGAGGAGGAGGATGCTTGGACGGAGGGTGCTTTGCAGAGGAGGAGGAGGAGGAGGAGAGGAGGAGGAGGAGGAGGAGGAGGAGGACCAGGAGGAGGAGGAGGAGGAGGAGGAGGAGGAGGCTTGGACGGAGGTTGTTGTGCAGAAGAGGAGGAAGAGGAGGAGGAGGAGGAGGAGGCTTGGAAGGAGAGGCTCTGGCCTCCTCCTCCTCCTCCTCCTCCTCGTCTTCCATTCCTTTTCCTTGCAAATAACCTCCCCCTGTCGCACCTGGAGGCCTGTTTTTAGGGCGGGCAGGGCGCTTCGCCTGAGACTTCCTCACCATGTATGACCCTGAAGATTGAACGTTGACAACAGTTTTACAGATGGAGGGCGGGTGGTTTTCAACATGTGGTTCTCGCCTTAACGCCGCACACATTCGTTTTATAGAAAAACAAAAATGCAAGAATTTCACGGATTGAGGGCAGGATGCTTTCAAAATGTGGCTCTCGCCTTAGCGCCGCGCACATTCGTTTTTAAACTGTGCAAAGGCTTCACGGGTTTTTAGGGCGGTTCCTTTTCAAAATGTGGCTCCCGCCTTAGCGCCGCGCACATTCGTTTTAAACATTTGCAAGAGTTGTACGGATTCCCATGATCAAAATACCAGAAACCATGTTTTGGAAGGTTTCTGGATTATGAGGGCGCACCAATTACGTCCTTTCGCGGTGCTGAAATCCCAACAATGGCATTATGGCGCGATTCACGGTCGTCAAAACTGTAACAATCAGGTTGATCCGCGGCGTTGGAATTCCGAGAGCAATGCTTTGGCATACTTCAGGGTCTTCAAACGGTTGTCTTCCAACGAGGCAATTCCCTCAATGGAAATTAACCGATGTAGGGGCTTATGGAGAGGGAGCTTGGGGGGAGGCTTTATTCCAACATCGTTGATGACTCTAAGGTTTACACTGGTCCTCCTCCTCCCCCTCCTCCTCCCCCCCCTCCTCCTCCTCCTCCTCCTCCTCCTCCTCCTCCTCCTCCTCCTCCCTCCCTCCCTCCCTCCCTCCCTCCCTCCCTCCCTCACTCCCTCCCTCCCTCCCCCCTCCCTCCCTCCTCCCTCCCTCCCCCTCCCTCCCTCCCTCCTCCTCCCTCCCTCCTCCTCCTCCCTCTCCCTCCGCCGCCCAGGCATCCGTCCAGCTCGAGGACGGGGGACCACCAGGGCCCGGCGTGCCAAGCGGCCCGTTTCGGGGCACGAGCCAGCCATGCCGACACACAAACGGAGAGCCACCGCCCGCTCGGCAGCCGCCCCCCGCCAGGGGCCGCCGGCGGGCCCGTGCCTGGCCTGCACGGGCCCGCCGGCCCCCCCACCTCCTGCTCTCCTGCCTGCTCGGGCAGGCAGGGGGGGTGCGCAGCACCGGCGGAGGCCGGCGCGGAGCGAGGAGGAGGAGGAGGAGGAGGAGGAGGAGGAGGAGGAGGAGGAGGAGGAGGAGGAGGAGGAGGAGGAGGAGGAGGAGGAGGAGGAGGAGGAGGAGGAGGAGGAGGAGGAGGAGGAGGAGGAGGAGGAGGAGGAGGAGGAGGAGGAGGAGGAGGAGGAGGAGGAGGGCGGAGGCGAGGACGTGTAGGCAGGGCGTCCTGGGCGGTCGGGCCCGTCGCCTCCCCCCGACGCCGACGCCGAGCAGGGGCGACTCGGGCTGGCTCTGGCAGAGAGCGGCGGAGCACTGCTCCGCTCCCTGGCCGCTGAGACTGCGCGCGATCTCAGATCTCCGCAGACCGTGGCGCCCCGAGGCCGCACGGGGGGCGGGGCGCGAGGGGAGGAGAGGCGGGCTGTGCAGCCTGGGCCGTGGAGGCCTGGAGGGCAAGGATGGCGATGGTTCGCCCCCCCGCCCCACCCCCCTGTTGCATGTTGAAAACCTGTGCCATTTTATCCCTAATGATTTCCAGAATCACCGCGCGTTGAAAATCCGAATTCTGTATCAATGGAAACCAGGTTTCGAAAGCCGAAATCGATCAAATGCTGTCTGTAGGCTGATCCCCCGTGCAACTCAGTGCCCCACCTCCCAAGGCTCCCTGGTCGGCCCAGCACCTCCGTGGAGCTCCCCGGTGCCCAGAGGCTTCCAGGACGGGCCAAAGAGACTGCCAAGGCCGCCAAGAGGACCCAGCAGCGGTCCAAGAGCGAACCAGAAGCTCCAAGAACGGGCCCGAGAAAGGAGCGCCCAAAGGTCTGCGAGACTCCAGAGGGAAGGCCAAGAGGACTTCCAGATGCTTCCAGGAAGGCGCATGTCATTCAAAACTGTGGAGATCGATGGTTTCTGAAAATGATGCGCTTCCCGACTATCTCACCTCAATTGTTCAAAGAGGGCCGTCGAGAGCAGAGGGATGCCCTACTAGGACCAGGCCTTCCCCAACCCCCCTGACAGCCCAATACAAGCCCCAAATGGGGCTCCAACGCTGCTTCAGAAGGGCCCATATTGGCTCAGGGGATACCACAGATGTTCCAAGAAGACCCCTAATGGCCCCAAGATAACCCCAAGAGACCTCCCAGGCAACCGAGCTGGGTCTAAGATAACCCAACACATACCAACACCGATGCGGCCAACGAGGGCCTCAAAACGGCCAAAGAGGGCTCCAAGACGGCCCCGCAGGAGGTCAAGACGACCCCACGACGGTGCAGGTAAATGTCATAAGAAACCCATCAGGCAATAGAGACGAGATGTGTCACAGGTTGCAGCCTCATTGGCGTCGCCTCACGTAGTGTTGCGCTGGCAAAGTGGCGTAAATTGTCGCAAACAGCAGATCGTATGCGGAATGTGGATTTCGCGGTCCAGGCGATGCGGTGGCATGTGGCACAGACGTCCCATGCGGTCTGACCAGAACCTCGGCTTCCCTGGAAAAGCGTCAACTGCACCCACTCGGGTCTCCTGCATATCCGCTGCGCGGCGAAACCATGTGGCACGTGAACCCCGTGTGGCCTGCTGGTGCATGAGATGGGTCAGGGTTCGCCCAATGCCAGGACCCCGTTTGCACGATAATCGGCGGCGGAGCCAGCGACGAGGTCCAAGTGTGCTCTCGTCACACCTTGTTGCTCGGGTTCGATGGTGGGGCGCTCTATCGCATCCTTCCTCGGTGGTGCAACAGCTTTTGCTACCCATCCACCGCATCCTCCTGTTGCTGCTCCTCCTCCTGCTCATCCTCTCCCGAGTAGCTCTGCTTCCTCACAGTCGTCGTCCTCCACTTCCTTCTCTTTCTCCTACTCCTCGTCCCCCTCCTCCACCACCTCCTCCTGCTCCTCCTCCTCCGCCTCCTCCTCCTCCTCCTCCTCCTCCTCCTCAAGTATGGCCATAGGCGAGGTGAGTACGGATCTCTGTTATCGGAGCCTGGATCCACCCTGAACCAAACCAATGGAATAAGTGCCGATACATGGCTGGCAACTGCCCGCAACCGTCGGCACGCGTGGCTGACTTCGCGATCTCGCGTTCGCGACAACCTTTAACTTGGAGGTCGAACACCTGACCACTCATCTCAAGAAGTCCGCGATATCTTCGTTACTGGACCCAATGGCGTCGAGTTGCCAACCCATCAGTGCTGCCGGGAGAACGCAAACCTTTGCGAATGACCTACTCGAGGTTTTCACGCGTCTTTCGACTAGACACGTCTCTTGCTTACCAGGACGAGGGCCGCAAAAGCGTGACTAAAGTCAGGCGCGAGCGATCGTTGGTCGGAGCGTTAGCGCCAGACGAAAAACGGGGCGGGCGAGATTGAGCTCGCTCGTCTCCAAGCGACGCAGGGAGGCGTGCCGCACTGCCCTTGTCTCCGTATGCGTGCACAAGAAATGGGACCACCTCCCGCGGAACCTCCGAACGGCCTTGGCGGGCCGATGAAAGACCACCGCACTCTTAAAGATCGTGGCAAAGGGCTATCACCCGGGCGACTCCAACTGGGACCCGTGGGAGGCCACCCAGAAGGAAAGCATTCCTGGGGCGCGCAGAGGAAGCCAGGGGGCCCAGTTTCCGCGGAAGAGAAAAGAAATCCTTGGCGAGAGGTTCGGGCACGGGGGTTCCCTGCCTAGAAATTCCAGAAGAGGAATGGAGTCTCAGCCGCGGGGGTGCTGGCACGCGGGGTACCTGAAGGGGCCCTGAGACACACTAATAAATACACACAAATAAAAAGATTCCCCATACTTTTCCATATGTTTGGGGTTTTTGTCTTCCCCCCCACTTCCCATATTTTCCAATATTTTCTGGGAAATCGCCGATGAATTGTGTCTATGTGCTTCTTTCCCTCCTGAGTACCACCCCCCCCAGCGCAATCAGAGGAAGAAAAGTGCGAGAGCCCAGATTGTAAATGCAATGCCGCATCACTCTAAGAGTAGTTGTAGAAGGGAATTGTACCAGAATTACTTCACGCTACTGTGTGTCCTATTTCCGAAATCGACATTATATACTGTCTCCTTATTCCTTAATCGCTGTTTCCGTACTCTTAAGCCGCGATCATATAGTGTTTCTTCATTCGTAAGTCACGAGTCTATTCTGTTTCTTGAATTGCCTCAATCGCAATTCGATAAGACTAGCTGTATTGCAGGACCAGGTGCACTCTAGGAGCAGCTGCGCGCTAGCCCATCGTGGTACCACTTGTACTCAAGTACTAGGTGCACTCTAGCCAGAAATGTTCAGGGGTTCGGGTGGCAATAGCCCGCGGAAGACGGAACAAAATACATGCGCCGCCAAAGGTCCCGGGTTTATCGGGTCGCCGCGAAAATGGGCCCCTCACGGAAGAACAGAAATCATAAGAAATCCGGCCGGGGGGTTGGGGGGTTCGCGCTTGAGTCGCGGGGGCGATAAGGGGCTTCAGCATGCCCCAGCGCCCGCCCCCCCGCACGCCCTTCACCTTCCTCCATTGTATGTGTGGTCCTACTGCTGCTGCTGCTGCTGCTGCTGCTGCTGCTGCTGCTGCTGCTGCTGCTGCTAGGACTCCTCCTCTCCTCTCCTCCTCATCCTGCTCCTCCTGGTCGTCCTGCTACTCCTGCTCCTCCGCATCCCGCATCCCGCATCCCGCATCCCGCATCCCGCATCCCGCATCCCGCATCCCGCATCCCGCATCCCGCATCCCGCATCATCATCATCATCATCATCAGCATCATCATCATCATCATCATCATCATCATCATCATCATCATCATCATCATAATCATCATCATCAGCAGCAGCAGCAGCAGCACCAGCATCAGCATTAGCATCATCATCAGCATCATCAGCAGCATCATCACTATCAACATCAACAGTATCATTATCATCAACACCACCATCATCAACATCTGCATCAGCAGCACCATCAGGATCATCAGCATCATAATCACCACCACCATCATCATCATCAGCCTCCTCATCATCAACAACATCATCATCATCATCCTCATCGTCATCAACATCGTCATCATCAGCATCACCATCAGAATATTCATCATCATTGCCATCAGCATCATCATCAGTATTATCATCATCACCACCATCATCAGCAGCATCGTCATCAGCATCATCATCGTCGACATCATCATCAGCATCGTCATGGCCGTCAGCATCATCACCATCAACATCAGCATCAACATCATCACCACCACCACCATCACCATCCCTATCACCGTCACGATCACCATCACCGTCACCATCATCATCATCAGCAGCATCATCATTCTCATGGTCACCAACATCATCATCAGCAATCCCTTCATCAACATCCTCATCCTCATCCTCATCCTCATCACCATCGCCATCCTCAGGTTCAGCACATCAGCATCACCATCACCATGACCATGGCATGGCAATGTGTTACACTGTGGAGCGATGCATTATGTGTACAGCTTGCCATGTCCAAGGCCACATGTTACTGCTCACTCACTCCTTAATTTAATGCCATAACTGGACAATGCTGCGAACGCCCACTCCAACATGAACACTCTGGTTTAATACGCGAAGCTTGCCACCTACCACACCGTTTTCTGCTGGACAAGTACACGGCAATTCCTACTGCGGCCTGCCCACCCCTAACAACGCCATGCGCCGTCGAAACTAAGCTGAGTCTTGGCGTTGTCGCGACTTGCCCTTCCCACGGTCGTTGGATCATCGTTATCCAGAAGAGCCTCTAACGCAATGCATAACTATCCTATCCTCCCCCCCGCGTACCCCCTATCTCACCGCCTACAATCGGCGAAACGCAAGAGATCTGTCAAAACCGCGTCGGGAATGCAACTTTGCGAGTGGCGCCTCATACGTCGCACTGACACAACCTAGTGCGCAATATTTCTGTAAGCGCAATCGAATGTTCGTCATGCCGATGTGGAGGACTGGCTAACTAAGCAATATGACTGTGGGTGGATATGTAGGGCAGCTAATTGCTGAGGCCTCAAACTGTTGTGCGCAAAACTGGTGGTATGCGGCTTAAGAATTTGCTGAATGTTAAGAACGCCATGCTCATCACTAAGGGCACACATTCCGGGCTTCCTATTGTACATGGAAGTGTCCTTTAACAGCTGGAGGAAGCATGTTGGGGCATGGCCAGTGGCTTACGGCGTAGGACTCAAAGCTTCAGGGCCGCAGCTGAAGGGTGACTGCTTCTGGATATGCGCGCATGCGACTGAGCACCCTCCAGGCGCGTCTGACTTGCCTCAAACCTTCCCGATGCCGCTCAACAGTAGCTCAGATTACTACTTCCACACAATTAGTCCTCCACCCTCTTCCACCCATGCCTCCTCCTTCATCTCCTCCCCCGAATGTGAGCAGGCATGGCAAAGCCAAGGCTTACTTTGCGATACTTTGCAAGAACCTACATTTCACAAATAGCTGCACGCGAACTATACATGCGTACTCACCTCCTAGATTCCCCCGATCATCGGATTTTGCGATTCCGTTGTCGTCGCAGATGCCGCAGGCTTCGGTTCTCGCGAACGTAGGACGGGACGCCACACCGTCCTCACGTCGTACAAGGCAGCCCTGGTCGACATCGGACGAGGTAAGCTTGGGCTTCGCACGATTCATTGGATCACCAGTTCATGATGCCCTCCGCTCGGTGGTTTGATACGCCCACCTATCAAGTGATTTGTTTGCGATCTGCGCACATCGACGCACCGACGCCACGTGGTTCGCAAGCATGCTTCGACCACCACTTGACGCCTGCCCGCCGGGCCCTGCTTTCCACAGCCCACGTTGCCCTTCGTATGAACGAAGTGCGCTATTGTTCGGGGCGCCGCCCTGGCCCGACTATGCGCTGCAACGGTGGCAATTTCAACGCTTCTGAGTCCCATGTTTACATCTCTGGGACGGAACTCCAACTCATCAGCTAATTAGCACGCCTGCACAACAACACCACGTGACACGTGATGTCTACGAGGAGCCAGACTCGGTAACTTCTGCAGGGAATTCAGCAGCTGCGCCTGGCCACCCCAGCACAACTGAGTATGGTTGGCCACCCGTCTCTGCCACAGCAATACCGCGGCCTTCGCGGCCTCGCCTTCAGCCACCCCGCTCGTCCCCTCTGCCCCACGGGCTGCATGCCTGCATGGCCTGCATGGCCATCATGGCCTGCATGGCCTCCAAGGATGAGGAGGGGCAGGAGGGGGCCAGTAGAAAAAGACATACCATCCACACCAACGAACCATTTCGAATGCGAGCGCTGAGTTCTTGGATCGGCGCCGCCCCACCTAGAAAGCCGCGCGGACTTCCGAACGCTGATGTCAATGTACGTCCTTGTCTTTTTGTACTAGAGAAGATCCGCGGCGAGCGAGGAGGGGAAATGAGAAGGCGAAGGTCTTCTCGGAAGGCGGCGGGACTTCTGAGAAGGCCTCGGGTCTTCTGAAAGGTTGCCTGTGTCTCCGGGGGAGGCTTAGAAGACTTCTCAGAAGGCCCGGGGACGTCCGAGCCTTCTGAAAAGGCCTTCTCCTTCTCACTTCCCTCCCGGGCTCGCCGCCAAAAAAGGAGCATGCGGAGGAGAAGGACATGCCAGGCCCTGAATCCGCCATGCAATCCCTTGTCTTGCCGTGCCTTGCGATGCCTTGCCCACCCCTGCCTTCCTTGTCCTGCGTCTTGCCCCGAGAGAAGACGAGGAGAATGGGGAGGCGGAGGAGACGGATGAGGTGGAGGGGGAGGCCGAGAGAGAAGCCGGAGGAGAAGAGGAGGAGGAGGTCGAGTTACCTCCTGGTAGCGGTACTGCATGCTTCGACTCGCGAGCTTCGACTCGCGAACTTCAGCGATCTCTGAACAGTCGACCATGGGACGGCACCCCTGCCGGGGAAGAATGAGGAGGAGGCGGTACCGGACGGAGGGAGGGAAAAGGGGACGGGGAGGGGGAGCGGGAAGGGGGGGAGGGAATGGGTACGGAGGAGGACGAGGGGTATGATGATAATGGAAGTGCCACAAGCTCTGCAAGGAGGCCAGCGGAATGCAAAAAGCGGCGAGGAGCTGCCAAATGGACCGAGGATCCGCAGAAGTAGCCAAAGGATCGCCGGAGAAGGGCTCGCCGGCACCAAAACAGCCCGGCCAGAGCTACAGTGTGGGAGCCACCTCCCACATGCAAGCACGAGGGGCAACGTCAGAGGGGGGACCAGCTTCAGGAGGGGAAGCATCGAGCTGGAATCGGCCATACGTCGCCAACAGCTTGGCGATAGGCTAAAGGCGCCCAGGGACACACAAGTAAATTAACACAAATAAGAGGATTCCCCATGCTTTCCGATGTTTCCTGGGCTTCGGTCTTCCCCCCACTTCCCATACAGGCCTCGGAAAAAATAGCGAACACTCATCCCACATTCATCTGTGAACGCCTCCCCCTCCTCCCAATGTTCAAAATTGGCGGTGGGCCTGATGCGTTGCACCTCGACCGCAGTCTCCCCCGCGCGCGCCAGGGGGCAAGGGGGGTGTTCACTAATTGTTTCCCTCTACCGTATCTTCGCACGCTTCCCTGGGAATCGACGACGATTGTGCTTTCCGATGTTTCCTGGGCTTCGCTTTCCCCCCCCACTTCCCATATCTTCGCACACTTTCCCTGGGAACCGACGATGAATAATTGTGTCTGGGCGTTTTATTCGGGGATGGACAGAACCCCCTTTAGCAAAACGTGGTTTAGTGAAAACGACCTCGGGCCCAAATCTGGCGGGCGAAAGCCTGGAAACTGACGGCCACGGCGCCCTCTCGAGAACCGAAAACGGCGATTCACTAATCGACGTGTCACTATTGGGGGTTCTGTCCAGCCCCGATTTATTTGTCCCCTCCGGAACGCACCCCGGGCGGGGAGGGCCGACGGGCCCCCTTCTCGGCGGTGCATGGGCCCCTGGGGCTCGACGCGTCCACCCCCCCCCGCCCCCCTGAGCCTATCCTTAAGTATACTTCAGTCGGGCCCGTCCTCCTACGGGGGATTGCAAAAAAACCTAGGATTGCAAAAAAACCCGAAGGATTGCAAAAAAACCCTAGGGTTTTTTTTGCAATCCTTCGTTTTTTGCAATCCTTCGGTTTTTTTGCAATCCTTCGAGCCTATCCTTAAGTATACTTCAGTCGGGCCCGCCCTCCTACGGGGGGGATGCTGGACGAACAAAAAGAAAAAACGAGTCAAGCAAAAATACCCCCCAAAATGGCCAAACGATGCTCAAAAAGATCGTCCCCGGAGTATTTGTTTGACTCTTTTTTGAATATTCCTCCTGTAGAGGGACACGCCCGACTTAAGCCTGTATCTCCCCCGACGCTGCCCCTGCAAGCACGGCCTCCACGTGCCTCGCCCGCGTGCAGGGCACTCGATGGCGGCCCGAGGTTGCCGATCGGACGTTGGCCACCCGGGAGCGAAGACGGACTACACCGCTCGTGACCGACACCTGGACCATTGAAGGGGCCCTGGGACACACAAATAAATACACACAAATAAAAAGATTCCCCATATTTTCCCATATTTTCTGGGTTCTTGTCTTCCCCCCCACTTTCTATATTTTCCCATATTTTCTCGGGAATCGACGATTAATTGTGTCTGTGTGTTTTTTCCCCTCCTGAACCATGACAGGCGCATCGAGCGGCCACGCGCGACACGTACCCAAACATCCAACGACGTGTCGTTTCAGCGTGCGGCCCCCATGGAGGTCCCGTCACGCTCCCCTGGGGGGCAGGTTCCCCGTCGGGGCTCGATAGCGCGCCCCAGAGGCCAGAATCGAGGAAAATGTTGGAGGCTCGGAAATGGGCATCAACACCAACACAGGGGGGTGCCTCCACCAGGGGAAGACGATCTTAGACTTTGGTGTCGGTAGTAATCTTTCGGCCACCTAGGAAGCCCGAATATTACCACCATCACCGAGATAGGGATCATCCTCCCTCGGTGGAGGCACACTGCCGATACAGTCGGGGCGTTGACCTAAGGAACCCTAAATAAGGAACGAGGCCCCTTGTTCCCATAAGTTAAACTTCGATTTCCCATCGAAACCCTAAGCAAGACCAAAGGCGAACTGCAAAACAGCTAAGGAACACCGAGCCCCTCCCCAACGAAAAGGGTTCCTTCCTCAGCGCCCCGACTGTATTGGTGTCGGTGCCAGAGCGCCAGGGCTGACGACGACATGCCGTCGGAGATCCTGGTGCGCCCACGGACCCGGACGCGCCAGGCCCCTGCGCGGGAGGAGCAGCCCGAGGGCCTCTGCAGAGCCCCCCGCACGGGAGCCTCCCTGGCCCGGGCCCCCAGGCCGCGTGGCCGCGGGCTGCCTCGGAGGCCTCCTCTCGGATGCCAGTGGGCACAGCGACGAGGACGAGGACGAGGACGACTAGGACTTAGGCTAGGACTAATAGGACGACGACGAGCAGAGATCGCACCGCCCTGGGAGGGCCAAATGCCTCCCATCGAGACTGGGCGGTGCCCCCCGCTTCGGGCGGGCCGCGCCTGCGGGTCCATGCCCGGCATGCCGCCTGGCATGCCGCCCGGCATGCCGCCTGGCATGCCGCCTGGCATGCCGCCCGGCATGCCGCCCGGCATGCCGCCCGGCATGCCGCCTGGCATGCCGCCAGGCATGCCGCCAGGCATGCCGCCAGGCATGCCGCCAGGCATGCCGCCAGGCATGCCGCCCGTGAAGTCCATGGCCGGCATGCCGCCCGCGAAGTCCATGCCCTGTGCCCCGTCGCCGTTGTCGTCGTCCTCGTCGCCGTCACCGTCGCCGTCGCCGTCGCCGTCGCCGTCGCCGTCGTCGTCGCCGCCGCCGTCGCCGTCGCGCCGTCGCCCGTCGTCGTCGTCGCCGTCGCCGTCGTCGTTGCCGTCGTCGTCGCCGCCGCCGCCGCCGTCGCCGTCGCCGTCACCGTCGCCGTGGACGCCACTGCCGCCGCCGCAACCGCCGCCACCACCGTCGTCGTCGCCGCCGCCGCCGCCGTCGTCGTCGTCGTCGTCGCCGTCGTCGTCGTCGTCATCGTCGCCCTCGTCGCCGTCGCCGCCGGCGTCGCCGTCGCCGTCACCGTCGCCGTCACCGTCGCCGTCGTCGCGGAGGCCGCCGCCGCCGCGGTTGTCGTCGTCGCCGTCGCCGTCCTCGTCGTCGTCGTCGTCGTCGTCGTCGTCGTCGTCGTCGTCGTCGCCGTCGCCGTCGCCGTCGCCGTCGCCGTCGCCGTCGTCGCCGTGGACGACGCCGCCGCCGTCATCATCGTCGTCGTCGTCTTCGTCGTCGTCTTCGCCGTCACCGTCGCCGTCGTCGCCGTTGACGCCACCGCCGCCGCCGCCGTCGTCGCCGCCGCCGCCGTCGCCGCCGCCGCCGCCGCCGTCATCGTCGTCATCGTCATCGTCGTCGTGGCCGTGGTCGTCGTTGCCGACGCCGCCGCCGTCGTCGGCTTGGTAGTTTTGCTGCGTCTCTGGGGCTGCGCGGCGCTGCGGTCGGCCCAAACGGGCCTGGACAAAAGTTGCAACTTTGCGCGAGGATTGGGGGCCTTCGTCACCACGGCTGGGCTGGATGCGCATCGAAATCTTGGCTGGAATGCGCCTCGAGAAAAAACCACGGGTCGACTATAAGGGCGGGAGAAGAAATGAAAGGAGATGAAGGACGACGATGAAAAGGAGGATGAAGAGGAGGGCGAGGAAGAGTAGGAGTGGAGGAGTAGGAGGAAGAAGAGGTAGGGGGCGAGGGGAGAGGAAAGACAGAAGAGGAGCATCGAAGTGTGTCGCGCCGAAGATACTCATCATGATGTCTAGCCGTGTGGAATGGGACCATGCGTGCACGGGGGCGTGAAACCCATGTCGGGGCCACGCCCATAATCTTGATGTATGCAGGTATCGGAGAGCATCCGCACAGTCATCGGGGCGAGCGGCGTGCAATCGGTCAAATGACGCGCGTGATGGAGCCGAATGAGCAGCGCCACGGATGCTACCCATTCAACATATTGAAAACCACCCGCCCTCCATCCGTGAATAGGCGGCGAGTCAGGGGGGAAGTGAGAAGGGGCGTACCTTCTCAGAAGGCTCGGAAGTCCCCCGGACTTCTGAGAAGTTTTCTAAGCCTTCCCCGAAGACAGAAGAAACTTCTCAGAAGGCGCGAGGGCTTCTGAGAAGTCCCGCCGCCTTCTGAGAAGGCCTTCTCCTTCCCAATTCCCCCCCTCGCTCGCCGCCGAGTGAAGCTGCTGTGACTTTCAAGCGCTGGGATCATCAGTGGCGAGGACATCTCGGGCGAAACGCCTGTCCCGCCCTGCCGACGAGTCCGGGGGGGTGCGACAGAGAGGACTCCTCCTCCTCCTCCTCCTCCTCCTCCTACTCCTCCTCCTCCTTCAACATTTTGAAAACCACCCGCTCTCCATCCATGAAGCTGCTGTGAATCTGGTGGTATAACGAGTTGTTTCTTCTCTCTTCCACTGAAACCCCTCCCCCTACCCCCTCCCCTGGGCCAGGAAGCTGCTGTGACTTTCAAGCGCTGGGATCACCAGTGGCGAGGATATCTGCGGCGAACCGCCTGGTCCGCCCTGCCGACGCGTCCCAGGGTGCGACAGAGAGGATGTTTGTACAAGGCAACGGGGGGGACGAGGATGAGGCCTGCGTCGAGCCTGCTGCAGTCAAAACGTAGATTAAGGACGCGTGGTAAGGACGCGAGACCCTTGGGGGCCGAAGTTGGGATTTTTGGGGCGGCGGCGACCAGTGAAAACGGCAAAGGACGGGCCACAGAGGCAAGGACGCAAGGGTATCCTAGATGAAGGCGCGCGTCCTTACTAGGCGCGTTGACTGTAAGGCAATGTGGGGGAAGAGGATGAGGCCCGCGTCGAGCCTGCTGCTGCTGCCGTCGCCATCGTCGTCGTCGACTCCCTCCTCGGGAGGAGGAGAGAGATGATTTGTTACATCAGCGGGCCGCACCCGCATACACTCCAGGCCTCCCAACTGGGGTCCGAATAGATGGGATCGAAAGATCCCGATGCATCGGCGAGGCACCCCCTCCCCCTAGGGAGCCCACCAAGGACCAAAGACGTACGCGTCCACCCACGTACATGAACACGGTGCCCCAACCCGCGAGACCAGCCGCATGATACGAACGTTCGCGCAATGCGTACTCTCGAAACCAACGTGGAATCATGTACCCGTCGGTCGAAAGAAGTGGGTAGAAACATACAGTAGGAAGGCCTTGGGAATAGATTGGGCTTCCGCCCGCCCCCTGCCCCTGACGAGATGGGAAGCGGGAAACCGCTCGACTCTTGGAAGCAGGAAGGCGGCCAAGATAGATTGGGATCCGGGCAGCAACAGCACCCACCGTTCAACGACTGGCGTGCACTCGCGAAACCAACGTGTACTCCTGTGCAGTGCACACGTCCTTCCTTCCATCGCTCCTGACTCGGGAGCGGCCAAGAGGGGGGTGTCCAAGAAAAGGGGGTGCAAATCGTGACCGGCGGCATGTGCGCGGCCCAGCGGGGGGACCAGGGACGTAATGAGATAAGAAGAGGCGCCGTGAAACCTGGGGAAATATCATGGCCCCCGCCATGAGATCCACCCCCCCCTAGTCATCACCCCCCTCTTTTCCGCCCCCGACTGACTCACCCCCGCCCTTGGGCGCTGCGTAATGGGGGGGTCATAAATGGGGGGGTGGCGAGCGTGGTCCGAAAAGGTACCCAAACGGTACCTAAACGAGCCCCCTGGGGCTCTGGAGGGGCCCGAAAGGGGCACGAAAGGGGACCTTTTCTGACCCCCCCATTTGTGACCCCCCTATTAAGCCACGCCCAACGCCCCCGCGGCCTGCGGCATCCCGGGCGGCGCGCCCGCGGGCGGGCCGCCTCTGGGCGGCCGGGGCCGGCGGCGGGCACGACGCCGACGCGGGGCAGAGCGAGGGCGAGGGGGAGGGGGAGGAGGGGGAGGAGGAGGAGGGGGGGGAGGAGGAGGAGGGGGAGGAGGAGGAGGAGGAGGGGGAGGAGGAGGAGGAGGAGGAGGAGGAGGTGGGAGGGGGAGGAGGAGGGGAGGAGGAGGAGGAGGAGGAGGAGGAGGAGGAGGAGGGGGAGGAGGAGGGGGAGGAGGATGAGGAGGTGGGAGGGGAGGAGGGGGAGGAGGAGGAGGAGGAGGAGGAGGGAGGAGGAGGAGGAGGAGGAGGAGGAGGAGGAGGAGGAGGAGGGGGGAGGAGGAGGAGGCGGCGAGGTGGACGACGACGGCGAGGAGGAGGAGGAGGACGACGGACCACGACGGTCGAGCTGACGACGACGGCGACGAAGACGAAGACGACGAGTAGGACAGACGACGGTGGCGGTAGGGCCGATCGTTCGGCCAAATCCCTCCGAGATTTCGGCGACATCCGCTCGGTTGGCGCCGCTGGGGCCGTCTCGGCGCCCCCCCGGAACAGCGCCTCCTCCTCCTCCTCCTCCTCCTCCTCCTCCTCCTCCTCCTCCTCTCTTCCTCCTCCTCCTACTGTTCATGCTCGTGAGCCTCCTTCTCGTTCCGCTCCTCTTTCCTCTCCCTTCCCTCCTCCTTTTTCTCCCCTTCCTCCTGCAGTCTCGCTTCCCTGCTCTCTCCCGTCTCCCTCGTACATCTCCTTTTCTCCTCCCCCCGATCTGCATCCCTCCAGCTCTCTCTCTCTCTCTCTGTCTCTCTCTCTCTCTCTATCCGTCCTCTTCTCCCTCGAGTCTCCCCCATCCATCCTTCCCCTCAATCTCTCCCTCGTCGTCATTCCTTGTGTTTACGGACTTGCATGTTTCTGTAGTTTTTGTTGCTGTATCCTCTCTCTCTCTCTCTCTTTCTTCTTGTTGTTTGTTTGCTCTCTCTCTCTCTCTCTATATATATATATGTATGTTATGTTGTGTCTTCGTATATCGATTGTTGGTCTGAGACCTCTTGGATGCCTGTTAGGGTCTCTGGGGAAGCCTCTGGGCAGCCTCTCGGGTCCTTTAGGGGGTCCCTGGGGGCCTGGTGGCGGTCTCTGGGGTTCTCTTGGGGCGGAGGCCTCGACATGTCAGTTCGAGTTCCACCCCCTGGGGCACATCTTGAGGCCCTCTTGGGGCCGTCTTGGGCGGTCCTGGGCGCCTCTTGGGCCATCTTGAGGCCCTCTCGGGCCCACCTGGGCGTCTTGGGGCTCTCTGTCGAAATCAAAAAGGCAAATTTGCTAGAAATGTCAGCTTTCCTAAAAACAAAAACTTTTGTTCGACTCTTCGGGCCCTCTTGGGGGTCCTCTGGGAGCCGTCTTAGGGCGTCGTCGTGAGGGCCTCCTGGGCCGTCCTGACGCCATCTTTGGCCGTCCGGAAGCCAACTTGCAACAGATTTGAAAGCTCTGGGGGGCCGGGGAGGCTCTGAGGACGATCCCAAAGCGGAGGGGGCACTTCGCGCGCGCGTAGGTTCTTGTCTCCTCAGTGCTGCGGTGGGAATGTCCTGGTCATCATCTTGGAAATCTGGTTCCCTGAAATCGCGAGAAGGGCGAGCAACTCAAGAGGGGTCATCGCGCGATCGATGTCTGCTGATGGGCGTGCAAAAGCAATAACACCGAATAGTCAGAGAGAAGATAATTTCGACCAGGCACCAGCGCGCGTGCTCAATACCATTGCGTGCTGAATTCGCATGTCTGCAGCATTGTCGCTGGCCCAACTGCTGGCATGGTGGGAGTGGGGGCCACGCTGACGGTCGGGTGAACGGTATTATTCGTGCGCCGTCCGATGCAC